GTGGCTGCGCGCGCCACTGGGCGCCTGCGCGCTGCCAGCGCGCCCGTGCACGTGCGCTGCACCCGTTAGCCACCCGACTCGCGTGCTATCCATTTCTTCGAGCCACCTGGTGCTTTGGCCATCCCCACCAAGTTTCACTCCTTCGATAAACATCCCGATACCTTCGATGGCGCGTCCATTTGCGACGTTGTCTTCCTTGGCCTAAACGCGTTCTGTGCTCGGGCTTGGTAGGGTCGGGGTCCACTTCCGCTTCATTCCCGCCCCCTTTAAGCACATCCTTGTCCTCAAGGATCGAGGCTAACTCCAAACTCCTCATCTCGGCATCTCGATTTATTCCTTTCGGTTCGGTTTTTAGCATGATGAGTCGGCTTCCTGAGTAGAACTCCATTATGCCTTTCTTGTAATTCGTAGTTACTTCTCCAAGTCCTTCAAGCCATTTAATTCCAAGAACTATCTCGGGCCCCACAATAGGTAATGCATAAAGGTCGGCTTTGATGATCTCACCTTGCAGGTTGATGGGCACTTCCCGATAATATTCGTGACATCTTAGCCGCTCTCCATTGGCAACCCTTACATCGAACGGTTCCACCTTTGTTGCCTTGAGCTTTAAGTCCTTAGGTACCTTGTCGCAAATGAAGTTATGCGATGAGCCGGTGTCGACTAGTACCTCGATTGGCCGTTCCTTGATCATGGCGGGCAGTCGGATTGTTCTCGGTCCTTGTAGGCCTGCCATTGCATTAACCGAGATCTCCAAATCTTCATTCACTTGCTGCTTCAGCTGGTCCTCATAGGCCTCCTCCTCGTCTTCTTCGGTGACGTCGATCAGAAAATATTGTTTGCATTGATGGCCTGGGGTGAACCTTTCTTCACATTTGTAGCAGAGACCCTTCTCACGTCGGCGTCTCATCTCCTCGAGCGTAAGTTGTTTAACGCCCGGAGGTGGCGTTCGAAAGTTGTTCGGCGGTCGCGGGTTGGGATGGACGTTGCTCACGTTTGATGGTGCGCTGTCTTTGACTGTGCGCTCGTCCAAGTGTTGGTCCGAGCGCCGTTGCTCCAAGTTGTGCACACTCTCCCGCCCGATCCTTCGTGTGGCCGTTAAGTATTCATCCCTCCTTCGCGCAGACTCCATGGCCTCGCGCATGGTCCGTGGTTGGTCGAGCCTTACTTCTGCGGCTAGCTCGAATTTAAGCCCTCCTATGAATGTCCCGATGAGTGCAGAGATCGGCCAGTTGCGCACCCGACATGCGAGTCGCTCGAACTCTTTGTAGCTATGGTAGTCGGACGATCCTGTCTGCTTGATGTGCGAAAGCGCCTCATCGTAGCTATGGTAGTCGGACGATCCAAATCGAGCAAGTAGCTCGCGCTCAAATTCTCCCCACGGGATGTGGAGCGGGTTGCCTTGGTAGATGCTCACGAGCCATTGCCACCAAACATTGGCTTCTCCGTCTAGATAATAGGCTGCATACTTAACCCTCTCATACCAAGGCGTCTCGTTGATGTCAAAATATTGCGCAGCTCGGTTAAGCCATGCATCGGGGTTTTCTCTGTTGAACGTGGACAACACAAGCCTCTGTTTCTCGATACGTGGGCGACCTTGATGATTCGAGGCCTGCGATTGCCTATCGTACTCCTCCTCCTGCTCGCGCTCGAATTGCTCGAACTCTCTCCTTGCTTGGTCGTGCGCATAAGGTGGTGGTCGATCGCCATGTGGAGGTGGTCGAGCGTGGAACGGTGGTGGTCGATCATCGTGTGGAGGTGGTCGAGCGTGGAATGGTGGTGGTCGATCGTCGTGTGGAGGTGGTCGCTGGCCTTGGAAATTCCTCAAGAGTTCTTCGAACCTTTGGTTGATGGCCTCCATCGACGCCGTGTGCTGATCAGTTATGGCGGCCCTGGTGTCGACGAGCTCTCTGGTTAGGGCTTCGAACCT